CAACGAACATGCCAGAGTTAAGAGAAGATATTATGTTACATCTACTCTCACACTGCAGTGATGTGTATTCAGCAAGCCGAAGTGGTAAAGCTACAAAAGAAAAGTTGAGGAGACTGACAAAGTAGTCCCACGACAGACAAACTTATGGGGGAAAAATATATACTAAAAAATCCTGGGGAAGAGAATAAAATTTCAACTAATCATGATTAAACGACGGATCAGCTAATCGGTTACTTACTAGTCCAATAGGTCAGTATGGCAGTTTAGTTTTGAAGACTTAATGAGCGATCAAAACCTGAGCTCGATGAGTTTGGGAGGGAGGGAAAGAGATACTTAATGGAGGAGGCAGGAACAAGGAGATGCAAAGTTTGGCTGCGGAAGCAAGGCGAGGGATTTCGAAGATGCAGATTGCAGAGTGACCTCCTGAGATCTCTTAGACCAGTCCTCAATGCCACTCAATGCATCCATAAGGTGGTCAATCTTTGACGCCTGTTTCTTACAAGTTCCTGTTAGTTCGGAAACAGTTCTTCGAAGATTTTCTATGGTTACTCAATTTCTTTTTTTCCATTCAGAAGTTTCAATTTTAGCGACATAAGGAATGGGTGTAGCCTGCGGAGTCGGAAGTAGGTTATCTTGATTATATGAGATTAGATTGTGTCGGAGTGCGGTGGAATATGTGCACGAGGCGCCCAATTGCACCGCGCCAGTGACGCAAGCGACAGATCTTATCAGTTAATTGGGTAGTTGAATTTTTCTTAACATTTAGCGAAGGGAATTTTTTACTAAAAATCTCTCACTGGACTTTACAGTCCTTATGGCCGGGTGCAACCCCTCGCAAAGAGCGTAGATTAGAGGGGATGGCGGCCAGTAAGCACCGGTTCTGCCTCTGTAGGAGATTTAACTAGGCAATCAGATTTTTTTTCACGTTATTCTCTAGGAATTGCAAAAGAGGAGGACGAAGTATAGTAAGCCTGTCAGTGCAAGCCTTATTGGCTAACCAACGTGTTTCACACCAGGCGATCAGTTTTAGTTGTGGCTCTTCCATTTCTTCCTGGAGGAATCTGAATTCCTCAGATTTTTGTGGACTTTTTCTAAGACATTTGTAAAGTTTTTTCATAAACCTTTTCAACTTTGATAGTCCAGTACCACATGTGCAGTTTCGTGGGTAAACCCTCGATCCATCTCAGGCCGGGGGGGGAGGGCTTAAAATACAACATGGCGGCCATAATTGTATACAGAAAAGGAAAGAGCCAATAATGGAGCCTTGTGGTACCCCGGACGTGATCGGAAAGGAGTAAGCACCATAGGTGATCGTGTGATCAGAGAGATAACTTTTTATTAAGTTGACTACGTAAACAGGGGCGTTCTTTTTTTCCAGGGATGATACGATGTCTCACCATGATAGCGAGTTGAACGCACTTTTAACGTTTAGTGTTAAAATGGCAAGAGCTTTTTTACCCTTGATGTCATATTTTCCAGCAGCAATATCGCGTAGTTGGTTAATCGCATCCAGAGTTGAGCGACCGGCCCTAAAGCCAAATTGTCTCTCTGAGAGGGGGTCAGTTAGTGAGGAAAGTCTACAGAGAATTAGATGTTTGAAAATCTTTCCAAGGCCGTTGAGAAGGCAGATGGGCCTATATTTTTTGGAGCCAGCCTTTTTTTGGTTTAGGTATGAGAAAAAGAATTGTCTGTTTCCATTCAATGGGAAAAATTCCAGAAAGTAAGTAGTTGTTGAACATATGAGTACAAGGGGAAATATTAGAATTAACGAAGGATTTCATAATTTCAGGAGGGATTCTATCCGGACCAGGAGCTTTCTTGGGTCTAAGGCGTGAGCACGCGCGTTTGACTTCTTCTTGCAAGAAGGGGATTATTTCTTTTTTTTTTTTTTTTTTTTTTTTTTTTTTTAAAAAAAAAACTTTATTGGATAAAGTACATATTGTCAACACTACCACATTACAATTACAGGGTATCTATTGACATGTATTAATTATGGATATTAAATGATATAAATAGATTAGAACGGATGATAAGATAGTATACTTATCATGTTGGTCTGGGGCATGTAATGCTCCAGCCGTCTGTATAATAATGAGAGTGAAATTACTCCTCGTGGGAAGGCGTACGGTGGTGAGCGGAGGGCCGGGGNAGAGGGCCGGGGGGCACCCCGCCGTGAGAGGCAAATCAAACAGTATGGTAGAGAAATGACCCTTTGGCATGGTTAGCCGTATGTTTCTTCTTTAACAAAGGCCCTCTGCCAGGAGATGATGGGGTGTAAAGGAAAAAGTTCAGAAACAACCCTTTTGAGTTCGAATGCCGTTAATGACTCATTATCATGGGATTTAGGCGCCTTAAACTAATTGCGCATGGTTTTATAGGCCTTTCCCCAGCAATCAAGTTCCAGTTCCCCGATTAAATTGTCCCAACATTGATTTTTAGATTTGAAAATCGCGTCATTTAAGAGTTTGCGAGAATTAGAAAACTCTAGATAAGCTTGGTCATTTTCGGGAGATGGTTTGCCTTTCATTTTGTAGAGGCGTCTGCGTGATTGGAGGCATGATTTACGGAGGGACGCTATTTTGGGGGTCCACCAATAGGAAGATTTTTTTCTTTGACGACGGATCTTTAATTGCAAAATTTTTTTTAAGTGAATGAGTTAAGGCTGCCTAACAGCTTTGTGCTGTGAGGACTGTAGTCGCTGCCAAGATTAAAGTGACGAAACGGGACACCGTAGATATGAGGGATGAGCTGCGCTCTTTGGAAATCCACCAGCCGGTAGACACCGAGGGCCTGACCGGAGGGGAGGAATCAGATAGCATGTCGAACTCTATAGCATGGTGATCGCTATGATTTTCAAAGTTTTTTAGTATTCTGAGGCGAGAAAAAAGGGGGAGAGAAGGAATTGAGACAGCGACCACATCTACCGCGGATTCTCCATTATGGTTTTTGAGGGTGAGAGTGAAAGAGGTGGAGTCGTTTAAGGTAGTAAGGGAGTTGGCAGTAAACCATTACCATCCCTTATACAGTAGAAAGTGTTTACTATAAAACTGAGGTTTTCATTTATTTTTTTTTGTAAGATTTTAATAATTAAAAATTGATGAAAAAAATGAACTTAATTTATCGGAGTCAACCCAGGTAATAATAAATTACAGGTCTGGGTGTTGGGGCGCTCGAGAGTTTTGAGGAGGGGGGGGGAGAGCATCAGAACAAAGATCTACTCTCTCCAAGAGTAAAATACATTATTTTAAGACGAAGAGTAACTAGAAGGAACTTCATGGTAGGAATTAAACGGAACAATTTATTACATATATATATTTTTTTAAAAATAATCAATTATTTATTAAATTTATCTACAGGGTGGAAGTGATACTTTACAGAGTATCACCCGAAGGCCTAATATACATACTAGGATAGAAAGTTCCTATAAAATACATGTTGTTTGTTATGGATTCCCCCCTGTCCCGCGATAGCTTAATTTCTAATTTAACCAAAGTTGCTTCTTCAGATCCTCAGTCTCTTAATTATTGATGTATTTGATCGACCTCGGCATCACCGTATGGTTTTTCTTCGAGGGAGGATTTATGTGGTTGGCTTGAGTTTAATAGAAGTTGCTTCCTCTTGAGGGTTTCGCGGATGAAGCGGTGGACTTTTCTCCAATTTTCTTTTGTTGAAGTCATTATTTCCATAATGTTTTGGATAGAGATGATTTGTTCTGTTTCCTTTTCCAATTTGATTCTAAGATCCTTGTTATATTCGCATACAAGAAACGTGTGATATGGTGTGTCTTCTTCTTTTTTGTTACAATTATTACGTATATTGACGCTATGTGGTAAGAACCCTTTATCAAAGAACGAAAGGGTTTTGTTTCTTATGGATATGAACTTTTTCCACCATTTTAATTTACCCGTGTTCGCCAAAGAGCCAGTGATGTCAGCCCCCGACAAAGCGTGGAAATCCGGCAGAGCGGAGGCCTTTAAAGGGCCAAGAGCTTTACAAATCGGGATCAGGTCGATAAATTTCTTCATCCCTTGCCCTGAAAAAATTCCCAACTGCGGCGAAAGGACAGGCACACGTCTTAAAGCTAGCATCACAACATCCGTATCTGGTGAAAAGATATGTGTTATGTCGGTACCATTTTTTTTAGGTATGCACCATGAATAATTATTTTAGTGTCTGCCTCCTCCTAGGTTGTACATAGATCGGGCACTTCCATCATAGTGTTGGAACTTTTAGCTTTGTCTCGCCAGCTTACGATTAATTTTATGTTCCCTTTCGACGCTGTTACTAGAATTTACTGATACATTTTTTCACTTACAATGGAAGTGACGATTGACATTAAAGACAAGAATTATCGGGACTGTAAAAAACAAAGATTAGCAAAGGTTGAGATGAAGAACAAGTGCAGAAGGTCACTTAATTCAACTCTGGTTGAAAATGTGCCATATCGAAATCCGCCTTTTGGCATTCATCGGCAAAAAATACTCAAGTAAATAATAAAAGGGTAAAAAGTGGTGAGAGGTGATGTAAGTTTGCAGTCTAGAGCAAATGTGTTTAATGTTTCTTCACATTTGATTATCACGTTATTTCGTCATGGACCGCCAAAGAAGAATTGCAGCAGCTGGGTTTATTTTTACGGGGGCTGCTTATGTGCAGCGAAAGTAGCCAAGAAAGAGGAGATGGTGGATGCTCACGTTAAGGTGATTCCAAGTGATCTAGGGACAGCTCGTATCCGCGCAGAGAGCACCACTAGTCGTTTTTCTGAAGCGACCAGTAAATCGTCTATTACTTCAAATTCCCTGCGAAGATTTCCCAAATCGGATCCATAACTGATAGCTAATTTTTTGTATTATTTTTTGGTGTATTTTTCATCGAGATTGGTTTAGTTCACGAAGAGAAAGTACGGTAACAGATTTTGAGGCGAGGAAAAGCGGCCGTGAGAAAGTGGCCGCCATGACTGTTGTTGTTATGTTTCCCCATTTGAGGTTAGAATATGGTCTAGCATTCGTTTGATTCGTTTCATCACATACCTATTTTAAAGCAAAAAAGAATTTCCCGGTTTTCTTTTTAGTAGTTTTCTCTCTGAAGTAATGTAGGAAAATTCGTGCGTACAATTTGTGGTTTCGTGAGTTTTCGGCATGGAATTGACTACTCGCATCCTGCTAACCAAGTCACTAAGTAGGTAAGTTTTTTATACTCTTTTTATTTATTCAAGCCCAATGTTTTATTAACCCACTAACTACCGAACAGTATAGTCACCAGAACGAAGGCAGCAATACCTCAGAAGTACTTTAATAAGGTGTCGATGGCTAAAGTGTGACACCATGTACCTCCATCGCGGTGTTTCAAAATCTTAGCTGCTGGTTTATGTTTCAAAGAGGAATAATTCAGCTTTATTGCTCTATAGCTCTATAGCTTGAAATTTATGCAGAATATTCTACTAGCAGCGAAGAAGATTCAAAAATGTTTTCAAGAAATAACGTCGACTAGTTTTCCAAGGGAAAAGTGAAACATGAGTTGAAGCCTACTGCGTTGCAATGGAGGTAAGTGATCTCGCACTTTAGCCGTCAATGTGTCAAGGCTGAATTAAACGCTGTATATGTGGATTATGAACAAACGATTTACTTTTAGTTGGCAAATGACAGTTGAGTCCATGACAATAACAGGGTGATAGAAGATTCTCTATCTTCAATGTCAAGTGCACTCTCTATGTCGAAAAGGTACAGCTTCAATTTCAGAGGCACTCTGCATGGGCTTGAAGTTGCGTTGCATGGATTGTAGTGTAGCAAATTTGTTCTACTGATAAGGTTTTAAAAGTAAATGTCTGCAATAGTGGATATCTAAAACTTTCAAGAGGCAAGAATATTTAGTTTATCCTTGAGAAAAATTTGAGAATGTAGTACACAGTGTATTACTCGTTGCATACCTGAGACTCGATATCCCTATGGTTAGAAGTTACTTCAAATTAAAGGATCCTCTTAGCTGACTTTGACATTATTGACCGAAAGAACTTGTGCACATGTCAATCCAAATTACTCCGATCTTCTTCTTGAAAAAAGTGTAAAATGAGACATTACTGAGGCTGAGAGAATGAGTATCATAACATTTAGAAAGAGACTCAGTGTGCGGATGAAACATTTGAGTTCCTACTTTTGCTGCTGAAAGAAGTTCTGTATCCTGTATGAAATTCAATTTTCTTGTCACAATTTTTATGAATCCAGCAAAAGGACTGGATGGAATATGATCTCAAAAGTTCTCTATTCTTCGCCAATATTTGCTTCCCTTTTCATCCAGAACTTGAAGGCGATTAAATGGTTCTTTCAAGTTTTGGGTTGAGAAGTCTTGCATCATTAACGTTTGTAAATTATTTAATTTACTCCGTTTCATTTCAATTGCTAAGGAAGGATAAAGGAATACTCCATCCCAGTCAAGTTAAATTTCTGAGAGAGGAGACACTTTATTTCAAGGAACACTGTATTGAGTGAATATGTTTTGTACGCACCTACATTGCTCAGCGTCTCCTCAATGTGTTGGTGCCATCTGCTTTCCCCGACTAGCTCCGAGAGACTTGGCTCGATGTGAGTTAAAGCAAATTCCTTTGTATGGCCGCATTTCACCGACAGACACACTCTTTGTCTTGTTGCAGATGGCAAGGATGAAAAAACCTGGAGAACTGGGCTGACATTTTTATAACAATCGATCGTTCCATTTTTGACTTCTCCACCAAATAAATTGACGATGATCTGACCGCGTTTGGTGTGTACATCCTGACTTACATTCTTAAACATGTCAAGGCACAAATCTATCATAGGATTCCTGTGATGGGCTCCAGCCAGTTTCTCGTAAGTATTACAATCCTTTAAGTCTATTGCAACAATGAATGCTATACTGTCAAATGCGCATGTATTTTTTATTTTAATCAGTTTGCCGTTGATTCTTGCTGTTGGACACAAATTACCATTTCTGAGTATCACACGATTATCCTGAGAGGTTTGAGTCTGAGGCCTGGCTGATTTGGGGGCTGGTCTTTGTGCCTCCTTGCTTACACCCAAGTCAGCTGCATCCAGCAACTCCTCCTGTTCTTCATCGTCCCTCACTGGATCGTCTGGATCGTCATTAGCCTCATCCATTATCATCATTTTTTCCTCGTCCTTACTATAGCGGAGCGGTAACTGCCGCATTCTTCTTGAATCTACTAGTTCAGGCAAAAAATTATGCAGGAAGAAGCTATCGAGTACATGAACCATTTCTTCCCAGATGGTTTGATCGTAGTAGATGAGTTCCATCAGGAAGTCTCGAGGGACCCAAACGATGAAGTAGCACAATTTTCTTTCTGTAATATGGAGTTGTCCTTCGATTTGAAACATGTACGCATTCCTTGGTTTCAAGTGCAGCTCACCTGATTCTGGGTCTTTTCTCAAGTAAGCTGGCAACTTTTTTTTCTCAATAGCCTCTTCAAAATTCAAGGTTCGAATCGAATATGGGAATTTAATCTCAACAATAGAGTCTTCGCCCACTACAAGAGCATCAGGAGAAGCTCCCAAATAACCCCTGTCTTTATCAACAAAGAGACCACATTTAATTGTTTTTTTGCCGTATTTTTCTTCAAATTCTTTCAAAGCCCTGCTCTCATTGTTCTTGCCCCATTGGGCAGAGGGACAAATCAAATCCCTCATTGAATTTAGGATGGTTTTCAAAAGGTTTCCAGGGTACTCCTTGATTATCTTGCTCAAGAAAATTAAGCGAAACATAGAAGCTGTGAGCCGGAACTTATGCTCTGCTTTCCATATCTTATTATCTGATTGACCAATCGTTCGTTTTTCAAGATCTTGTCGTTCTTTTTCGGTCAACTTGTATAGTTTCAGTTTCCTCTCCATATTCAACTTCAATTCCCTCTTAGGCATATCTTCTCTTTGACAAAATCTTCCATAATGTAAGGTAGACTTTTCTTTATCTGTTGGAGCAAGTGGTCGGGCAAGAACTTCAGATTCATCGTCGTTACTCTGATCGATGTGTCTCTCGAGTTTCATTTCCAGTCTGCGTCTAGCTGTTCCAACAATCTTACGAGTTCTTACTTGATCCTTCTTCTTTACAAGGCTGGAGGGAGTCTCCTTGTCCATACGGTGCAAAACTCTGGATCGCCATTCCTGCCCATACTGGAAGAGCAAGGTTGCCCCGTGAACCCGGAACGAGTAAGATCCTCTCCTACCGTAAAATACCTGTTTGGCACCGGTAAACTTTGTAATGAGGTGCATGAAACCTTCGCATAAGTTTGTGGTTTCGCACTCCATGCTGCTTAAGGTATATGTCGTTATATTCTGGAGGATATCAGAAAATGACCACAAGAAACTACTGTTTAATTCTTGCTTTTCTACCTTGCCACAACTAAGGCAAAATTCTGCTCTACAATCTTTATGGTCTCCAAGGAAGTGAGGAGCAAATTGCTGTATGATGCTGACGACTTCCTCCCGCTCAACTCCCATTTCGGAAATCTTCTCCAAAGCCTTTCGTGTATACTTTCACAATGCTTCTGATTTTCTGCTTAGACAGCCATTTCTTCTCCTGGGGGCTATCTTTCATGCTCAAGCTACCATGCAACTTGTACAGTCTATTTGACACGTTCTTCATAATATGATTAGTGCAGTTAATTTTTATTACCTCTCTACCGTAAGATACCTCTTCAATTATGCGACTATACGCTGTAGAATCTCCGTCTGCAATCAAAATTTTATACCTCACCCCATGACTTTCCTCGCTATCTTTGAAAGCCTGTACAACCATGTCAGCCTCCATTCCTGTGGAGGATCCTGACCAGTTTTTGAAGCAGGCGTGCTCTTTCGGAGCTTTTTTGCTCTTTCTGGCAGCTTCACAGATACAGCAGTACTTATTTCTAACGCCTACATAAAGTGGTTTTTTCGTGTACTTGCCGATCACAACCAGTGCACCTGACTTTGCGTTGTACTTTTTCCCATAGGAGCGGTGGCTCCAACTTGCATCTGCTAAGACAGAGATTTCGGGAGTCCCATCGTCGGCAAAAAACTGTTTGCTAATTGGTATTGCTCTTTCAGCTTTTCCATTCGCTATGATTTCTTCTGTCACACAATCTAGCCATGACTGTAAAGCACAGAAAACGAAGTCATATTAGTCTAAAACGTTTCGTTTTTACAGACCTATGTGCAATAATGGTCTGTTCAAAATTGTGAAAGATATTCATAGGCCCAAAGCCGAAAAGTTTGAAAAATGCAGTGAAAGCCATCTTAAGAAATTTTCAGGTCCTCAGTCTGCAGCCATTGGTTACTCCTCTCTGGAAAACTGCTATCGATGAAAGCAAGAAATTGATACCGAAAGCAAGTGCCCTAGGGGTGTGGCCGTTTTCTTAGAATGTAATATAAATTTTATGAATATCTTGTTTCATCTGACAATTGCTTTTTTCATAACTGCCTTTTATCATGTCCTATTGAAGTCATATTGAAGAATTTGCAGTCGATGTTGCAGAAAAGACTGTTTTTACTTCGAATAGCATCAAATAGGCCCATAAAACTGGTCAACACAGGTGAATTTCCCTGCAATATGTGCAATGAAACCGGGGGGATTCTTAGCGCTTATTCCAAAAATGACCTCCGCTGTTCTAGATCAGGTTAATTACTGGTGGAAAAAATTTGAATCGTACTAATAAATCCAGCCTTGCCCTAAACGGTTCGATTTTCCGGAAAATCTGACCATGATGAAAAAAATAAGTTCCTTCTCAGGCTCAGCAGTCAAACTCACATGAACATGTACGTTTCGGTTGCGTATTGAAGCTTCTTTTCTGTTCCTAATATCGAGGCTTTACTGGAGAAGTGCTCCTTTCCCCCTGTGTAGCACCATGTAAAAATCATCCAATTGTTTTGTGTAGGAAAAGAGGGGAAAAACATTTTTCTTAGGAAACAAGTAGTGTAATTTCTGTTCAAATTTTGCACCTGAAGCTAAAAAAAACCTTGTTTTTTTTCTGAATTCTGCCAAATTTTTGAAAAATCGATGTTTCAAAAAATGTGCTTATCACCTCCAGAAAATCATCCCTTGTTATAATCTTTATTTTCCGAAGGTTTTGGGAAAAAACTACGAACGTAATTTTGGTCTTAAGTGGCAAAAATAAAGTGGGAGGACCTCAAATTGCTACCTCAGAAAAAAATTATTCCCCTCCTTTCGGACCTAAAAAAGTCGGATGACTATTACATGGTGTTATATGGGCGGAAACGAGCACTTGACCGGAAAAACCTCCATATTAGGAACAGATAAGAAGCCTTAATAGAATACAAAAACGTTGTACCCTCTTTAATTTTGGCTGCTGAATCCCAGAATTACCTCACTTTTTTTCATCATGCACGGATTTTCCGGGAAAGCGAATTTTTTTGGGAAACCCCTGATTGTTTGATAAAATTCCGCTTTTTTCAGGGGAAATCGACCTGACTTAGCAAAGCGGAGGTCATTTTCGGAATCAGTGTTAAAAATCTCCTCGGAATCAGTTTAGACATTGACCAGAGTCATAGATTGAGTTTGTTGACCACTATAATGTGACACATGGTGAAGTGAATATGAATTTTCTTTACTACTTTTAGAAAAGGAGTATTTCAAACATTTACCTGCCCCACATCAGCCTCCATTTTGCTGAATGTGTCATATGACATTGTCGGAACATCTAAAAAAGTTAGGATTTCATCCAGATGATAATGTCCTTTTCCTGATGCGTACATTGCTGCAACCGCTGCCTTGTTTATCTTCGTGGGGTTGGCATTTTGGGCAGTTGAAATGCGTCTACTGAGGCCGCAACCGTCACACTTAAATATGAGGTAGCTCATTAAGCCCTGCACTTCCTCCTCCAGGAACTCCAAGCCAGCTTTAGGATCTATATGGCACTTGTGGCTCTCTAATTTCCTGGATTCTGTAATTATGTGACCAATATCTACAATTCTCCGGTGCTTAAGTGTCTCAATATTTTTATCTTTCCCAGGAGGCCTTTCATATACGATTTGCAGCTTATGAGCTTCCACTTCTTTTTCACTGGAACAGAAAATTGATAACATTACTTCGTGCTTTCAAGGTAAGCAACTCAAATTAAAATTTATTTGATCAGAGATGTATTGGATATGTGTAGCAGTATGTATTTCAGCCCTATTTTTGGACCCTGATTTGGTGCCTGCAAATCTCTGCTGAAGGTGTATTTCAGCTGCCTTTAGAAAGTTCTCATGTCTCTTCCACTGACACCAAATCGCCTTCTTGTAGACTGGTGTACTCTCATGATGGTGCAATGGATTCGAGCGGTAGAATCCACTAAAAAGTTGGGGAAGAGTCGCTGAGTAGACTCAATCACCTGTAAAACCATATTGCTAAGACGCAGAGTCTGGGTTGCTGCCTGCATGGGAAAAACAAGCATCGCGGTTAGAATCGGTGCTCTGTGTTTCCTGTCCAGACAACAGCTCAGCTGAAAATTGCAAGGATGAGACAAAATGATGTCATGCAGAGTCTTAGCTCCTCGGTTCCCATGTGAACGCAGTCAGCCCGGAAAATCAGAGTCCCGTGTAAGGCCCTGATTGGCCCGGAGGACTGGGCCGCAGGGGAGAAGGGAAACTAAAGCCACGCTACTCGCAATTTTCAGAAAATCTCTGAAATTAGTCTCGTCTTAGCTCACCAGCGATCCTGGCCAGGCCGCGAATCGGCCCGCCACGCCGTGTCTAAACGTACTCCGCGCGGAAGCCGCGTGTAGGTTTGAGAGAGTTTCGAGTGTGGTTCTGATGGTGTTCTGATTCTTTCTGTTCTTAGAGTGATGAGTCTATCGAAAGTATAGAATATAAGTGTCGTCGAAATTGTCAAGAAGTGTAGATCGTTTTGTCACTGTGCCCTACCTACTTTTCACTTCGAGGAGCAGCGAAAGGCTCCTCGCCCCTTTTTCCCCAAAAATTCATACTTCCGCTGGTGGAGCTACCCCCCCCCCTTTTAGAAAGAGATCGAGTGTGTGTCTTCCTTCTCTCCCTTTCTTTCGCGCGTTCCAATGGCACTGCAAGTCATACTTCAATTTTCCTTTGAAATTCTCTTATCTTGGAGAACCCTGTTTAGCATCTTGATAGCCTCCTATTTTCCAAGTTACAATCTATGATGGTCCAATGAAGCTTCCCATTTTATGCCAACCAAGCTCGAAGGCAATTTTTAATGAATAAAATGTGAAAATATTAAACGCACTATCTGTGAAGACTTACTATTCTCTTTGTTTACGAATAGACGTTGGAGTGGGAGCAGGTTCTTCGGCTTCTTGCTCGTTGTTAGTTGTGCCTTGGTCATTTGCTGATTTCTGAGGAGTTTCAAAAATCTTCCGTCGACTTTTGACACTGCCACTGCACTCATTATTAACTTTTCTTCTGTAAACTTTTGTTGCGACTTCAGGTCTACAAAAGAAAGAGACAGTTATTAGTATAAGGTTTGTCACACCCCCTTAATTTTTATGTGGGGTTAGAGTTACTCTGAACTCTCTCTGGGCACTTTCCCAGACTTTATCAACTGTAATAGAGGAAAGAATAATTCTGAGAAAAGGCAAAGAATAGAATTCTCAGTATATGGCTATGAAAGCTAGATAGAGGGTCTAGAAATAATATGTTCTTCCTTAGTGCTGATTTGGACAGTATAACCTGTCTAAAATTTAGGTCTGCTGTATCATCTGCTCCGCACCATTTAGGGGGCTTTCGCTTTCTGTCCCCGGTCAGTGATTGCAGATCACTAGTAAAGGGTAGCCAGAGCGGTCCTGAATCAAATCAAAATTTCATTCAATGCAAAAATTTATGTCTCAGTGGGAGCTCACTTTCTGTTCTATTAATCATTTGAGATTAGCTCTTGAGGTTTTCCCCTCATGACAGCATACACAATTACGTTAGAAAATGTACATATTTCATGTCAAGAAATTTGTTGGTACTTCTTACTTATGAAATGTATGAGTCTCCAAAAAAATTAGAAGTATCCATGCAGGCTGATATTGTAAGAAACGCTTCCTTTCAGATTTCTTTTTTCCCAAAGACTCCCAAGGAGTAGGAAGCACTTCATTCTAAGTGGTGTAGTAATTGCAATAGAACTTCTACCCAATGAAGGAACGCATTTTTCTTCTTTGCTTTTTCTTTTAGCTTAATCGTGAGAGTACCTGGTTAAAGCAAATCAAATTGGATGGTCATGAGAAATTACCGAAATGTTGGGCTGGAATCTGCACAATTGACCAGAGATGTATAAATGTTTTCTGCCTCTTTCGGCCAGTCTACAAACTTTATTGCTGGTGATGCCGTCTGTGATTCGCTGGAAAGATCATTTTCCGCCCTAAAAAGAAAAGGAAGAAACCATCAGAGATCATTAAAACAGGAATTGAGAACATTTTTTATCAATGGCTATCCTATGTTTTCATGAATGATTATAGAAAGCTTCTTACAGGAGGGTTTTAACAACCTTTTATCACTTTCAAGTTATCATCTCTCTGAAACTGCTTTTCTGTCCCATCGTTTCCCAGGTAATTCTCAGTTGTTGAATTTTTGCATCTTGCATCTATATTCAAGATGCGAATAAATAAATTTCTCATAAACTATCCCTTAGTAGCTTATTGATATCAGCTGCTAATATTGTGCCTGAGAAGAAAGTGTCTCGAACTCGAGGTTAATTGATTTATCGATTTTTCAATTTTCTTTTTTAAGTGTACTAATTTTCTCTTCATCATCGTCATGAGGATAAGGAGATGTTTTTTTTTAATGGGGAAGGGGGGGGGAGCGCAATATGGTACTGTCATCAAGGAGGGTGTGGAAACCATGGGAAAGCACCAAGCTGCTGGATCTTGGAGGGCTCTTCTATCTCCAAGGGGGGCCCTTTTGTCTTCTGCAAAATTGTTACATCTCAGGAGGAATTTTCAGCAGTTCTCGCTGAAAAATTTGAAAGAAAATGTGATACGTGATTAAACTATGACGCATATAATTTACAAAATCCGCCACATTTTTTGGAGGGGGCCGCCGCCACCCCATGTGGTCTTTTATCAAATGAACTTTTCTTCACTGAATTATACGCACCGTTCTGGCAATATCCTGTCAGAAGTTGCTTGCAGTATTGGGTCACAGGATTTGCTTCTTAACTCTAAATGTGATGTAGTATTTTCCTTTTTCTTGCCAGTTGAGCACCTCCTAGAAAGTAAAAATGCAGATTTCTGATGAAATTAGCAGAACAGGTAGGTTTGCAAAGCAGAAGTGCCGTATAACAGATTGTGGAAAAATGAACCATGCACTCAAAATCTTCTACTCCATTGCTTTTTTTACAATGTCATGTATCATCTTTTTGATTCACAGTTCTACCAAAAAAGAAATTACTTAAATCTTCTGGGCCAAAGCAGGGTAATTTTTATGTATTTTAAGCCCCTGAATCCAAAATGACCTTCATTATTTTCCATCACCCTTCAGTTTCCCGGTAAAGACAATTTTCCTGAGGTCAAATTTGTGCAAAAGCTTTTCCGGACTCACAGTGTTTCAAAAATACATTTTACAAAGGACTTTGATGCAGGATACATCGATCCTTCTGTTTTTTGAACTGTTGAATCCGACTGTGATCTCAGATTTCTCCTATCACCCACCATCTCTCCGGAAAAGTCATTTTTCCTCTGGAAATGTGCTTCTTAGGTACTTTTGCGATAATTTTCCTGTCCTAAAGACTTTTCGAAATTTCCCAAGATCCTCTTTAGGTGTCTCCTGATGTATTAGATCCATTGAACTCGAATCTGACCTCCACCTATCTCTGACAACTGACTGTTTTCTAGAAGGTCCAATTTTTCCGGGCCAAAAGCTTTTCCGAACTGTTGCAACTTCCAGCGAAATGTAAAAAAATTTTCCGCATGTTTCGATACATCGGCTCCCATGTAATTTGAGCTGAAAAACTCAAGTATAGCCGGAGAAATTCGTTACGACCCATCAATTCTCTGAAAAACCCTTTTTTCCTAGGAAAATTATCGCGAAAGTACAAATAAACTCGTACCCCAAGGCAAAATCGATTTTTCCGGTAAAATGGAGGGTGATGGAAAAAATTGGAGGTCATGTTCTGATACAGCATCCTGCAGTACCTAAAAATCTTTCTTTTATTGATGCAGGATAATTAATGAAATAAGAAATTATACATCAGACAAAAATAAGGCATTTTCGCTCATTTGTTCAGAAAAATGTGTCTTTTCTCGAAAATTGAGAGGTCATTTAAGGAAATGGAGGCCATTTTCGAACTTAGAGACTCAACATTCCCTAGACAAGACTTATTTTGTACCAATCAAAAATTTTACCTACATTGTTGAGGTGATTACAGGTCGTAAACAGGAGATTTTCCCAGGAAAATTGGCTTTTCCGGAAAATTAGAGGATGACAGAGGTAAATGAAGGTCATATTCGAGTTAAGCAGCTCATTTTATGGAGGCTAGAATTTATTCAGCAGTTGAGTAAATTATAAGCCCACTTTGTACGTGAAAACAGTCAAATTCAGACAAAACCGCCCAAAAACGCCTGTTTTCCCGGGCAGAACTCGATGTCCCGGTAAACCGGAGAGTGATGGACAATAGTTAAAGTCATTTTCGGATTCAGAGGTTCGAAATACATAAGAATCACCCTAACTCAGGGCCAGGAGATTTTGGTCATTTTTTTTTTTGTAGAACTGTCAAAGCATCTTAGATCTATTCTTACGAAATTATGCTAATTCGTTTTGACGCTGGGCATGATATTACTGCAGGCCAGTGCTGTAACATATAATGACTCTTCGGAGGTTCAAATTTTGGTATCTCGAATGTAGATTGCCTTGAAGATTTGTTAATTTAACATTTAACAAATTGTAAAATTTTGGCCATGTCTCAATTGATTCTTTGAATTTCCTTCGCAACTGCTAATTATGGACCTAATCATAAGTTTTAACTTTCACAATGTCTCAGTGCGATTAGGTATGATTTTGAGCAAAATAGCAAGGTATTGCACACATTGTAAGTCTGATGATTCATATATTGAAGCAATAAGTATACCCGCAGCCGCAGCACAATCGGTAAAGACGACCAGGTCAATACATTGAGGTGAATGTGAGGTTTGGTAAGGAAGTATGTTAGTTGCAAAGACCCAATAATGTGAAGAAATGTCATGAAACATGCAAAAATTTACGCACTCCAATGACATACTTGTTCGTTATCCATTCCATAATCCAAGTTAGAAAATGCCAAATTTCCTGGGAAACCGAATTCTGTCTTCTCTGTTCAGAGAACTGTTAAAGTTTGCGATGCTTCTGCAAATTTGAACAGTTCATTTACCTACTCTTCAGTGAATGATACACCTACTCTGAATGTTAGTGACTGGAGAAAATGCTGACTCCAACAATGTCAGCACCGATGCAAGGTTTATGAAACCTTTCACAGTAAATCTCTTGAATATAAATCCTACGCCTGGAAAATTAAGATACCTGGCCCAAATATGGATCGCAGTTTCATGTGATGGAAGCTTCATTTTTTCTCTGATTCGTTTGAGGCGTCAATTTTTCCTTGAAAGTAAATAAGTACCGCTTATACTGACCTGTCGGGCTTATTCAATTTCGGCTTAGGATTAGGTTTCTTCCTTTTGTGGTAGTCTGCTTTTCGTTTACCCATGATTTTCAGGAAACACACTTAGGATGAATAAAATAACTAGGATATTTCACAGAAAAAAAGTAACAGCACAACTGCTTTTCCACTGCACCTTTTACCTCAATGAGTAGCAAGGCCTACGAGCAACTTGCAGAAACTTGTTGCTGCAGGAACAGTCCTGTCCGTCGTTTTGAATCTTCGCGCCGTAGCGGTGATTGGCGCGTGTGAGAATCGTCTTCCAGCTAGGCGGGAAATTTGAATTAGAACTGACGCGGCGAGGAAGAAAATATAACAGGGAGGGAAGGGAAATGAATATGTGTAGTCCGAAGAGTGCGAATTTCTAATTAGTGCACCAATTAAACCACGGTATTTCTCCACTTTTTTTTTTCCTTTTCCAAAGAAATGCATTCCCATGTAGTACCGAGAGTATTTAAAAATGAGAATTCGATAGTGATAAATGACAATTAAGTAATATTCTCTTGACGTTGTTTCTGTTTTAATGATATGCGTTCATTTTATTTTGCAGGGAGGCCTCAAAGATTTATCAGACGATCCTCTGCTCTTTTACTATAGAGCTGTCTTTCGACTTTATGCAGAGCCTCTACTGTCACTATCGGTGACAATTTTCCATCCCTCTCGACAGGGGCCGACAGGTTCCAAATTTTCTGGGGAAAAGCCCTGCAGGAAAGAGGATCAAGGATCTCCCCTCAGCCAGTCTTAATTCTCCGCCTCTGAACGTTTATATAACAGTAGTAATGGTGAACACTTAACACGTTGACTGCCACGCCGGTCGTATCGACCGGCCTCGAAGGGTTCTGCCGGTTCTTGTAGAGTAGTTTTATTTGACGAGGAAGTATGATTTTTTTTTCCCCAGAAAACTTTTATTTTCGTACTTTTATTCAATATCTTCGTAGTTTAATATTTCGCTGGAATACCAAGTTATTCTAGATACAAGAAGAAAAAATGACGATGTTTGATTAGATTACGTTGTTGTACCAGCAGTGATCTAAACCTAACCTAACATTGTCAAAAGACATTGTTTTCAAGGAAACGAAATGTAATATAGAGGAAAACGGAGCATCGAAATCCTGATTTTGTGCCCTCATTCATTGGCTGCATTACCAATGGTCCAATTGATTCTTGCAAAAACAGATTACCATATGAGAATGAAGAAAAAAGTTGATTGAAAGAATCAGGGGTGATGTACACCTCATCTATGTGCCCACTTCCTTATGTGGAGAATCGATAGGGTCCCTGGATTTGCTTATGTAGATACGGTAATCGGTTCGTATTTCCATTGGACTTTTTTCTTCATTCTCATATGGTAATCGTTTGGCAAACAATGCGACTGGGTCATTAATTGCATCCAACTCTCAACAATGAGAGTTAGCCAATCAATGTATTTTACAGGTACAGACGGTCCAAGATTTCACAAAGACTCATGGGAGGAGTAAAGGAGTTGTTTCAGGGTGCTTGAGGAGAAGTTACTTTCGTGACTGGGGGTTCCTTCGAAAGCAACATCGTATAATTGGTATTTCCAAAAAAGATTTTAACGCAGCAACGCCATCTATCCATTTTAGAAGCATCCTGGCTGTGTAGAAACAACTTCGTGGCAATAGGGTGACTATCAATCTCTGAAGAAACCTGGGTAACTGCGGCTAAAATCTTCGTAGATTGTTATTTCGCTGGAAGACGACGATATTCTAGTTAAAGGAAGGAAAAATGACGATGTTTGATTAGATTACATTGTTGTACCGGACGGTGATTATAACGTAACCAAACATTAAATTTATATTTTCTCCGGAATAATACTTTCTTTCTCCGGAAAAATAATTTCTTTCTATAGAAAGAATTTCAACGACTGGAGAAAAAGATATTTATAGTTAGGCTAGAAGACTCCATTCGCCTCGTGAAGAAACCTGGGTTTCCCAACTGGGCACTAATATCCTGTAGGTGATTAATATTTCTATGGTCCACGAAGAAAGGACTACGTGCAAAACGGGTCATTTGGGGCTCGGGGCGGATACCTTTGAGACTTGCCCTATTCATTCACCTAACAATGCCCCATCTTTTCCCAAAGTTTCAAGCCCCCCAAAAATTTTGGGGAGACGCGGCGGGGGGTCAAAGTTCAAAACCGGCAAAATTTTCGCGAATTTATTACTCGAAAACCAAGAAGTTTTCGTAAACGCGGTTTAAACGAGCGTATTCAGCGTGACGAGAGCTTTCAGAAAATGTATAACATCATAGGGTTTTGTCAACTTCAGCTCAAGTTATCGCCTCCGAAGCGCCGGAACGCTCATAAGAGACCCCTTATTTTTTCACGTTTGGGCCGATTTAAAAAAAAGCCATTTTTTTAATTTCATGAAAAACTGATATGTTGTTCCTGACTCTCTGTAGCCCCTCTAGCTCTTTACCGCATGCTGGGGAAATGTTTTGGTCGCGAGTTATAAGAGCAGAAAGGAGGGAAGGTCGGGAAAATTGGCTATTTTAAACTGCGCGCGCGGCGTTGATCGGAGGGAAAACGTCCCCTCCCACTCATTTCGGTGAATCACACTCCTCTGCCGACCTCGCATAGTTGCCACATGGCTCCTGATCCGTCGCCGCGCGCAGTTTAAAATAGCCGATTTTCCCGACCTTCGCTCCTTTCCGCTCTTATAACTCGCGACCAAAACATTTCCCCAGCATGCGGTAAAGAGCTAGAGGGGCTACAGAGAGTCAGGAACAACATATCAGTTTTTCATGAAATTAAAAAAATGGCTTTTTTTTAAATCGGCCCAAACGTGAAAAAATAAGGGGTCTCTTTTGAGCGTTCCGGCGCTTCGGAGGTGATAACTCGAGCTGAAGTTGACAAAACCCTATGATGTTATACATTTTCTGAAAGCTCTCGTCACGCTGAAAACGCTCGTTTAAACCGCGTTTACGAAAACTTCTTGGTTTTCGAGTAATAAATTCGCGAAAATTTTGCCGGTTTTTAACTTTGACCCCCCGCCGCGTCTCCCCAAAATTTTTGGGGGGCTTGAAACTTTGGGAAAAGATGGGGCATTGTTAGGTGAATGAATAGGGCAAGTCTCAAAGGTATCCGCCCCGAGCCCCAAATGGCCCGTTTTGCACGTAGTCCTTTCAAGATAGGAAAGGATAAATGTCCATGTCTGAGGTAACCTTGCGACAAAATGGTGATCATAACCTAACCAAACATTAAATTATTTCTTTCTACAGAAAAATTATTTCTTTCTACAGAAAGAATTTCGAAGACTGCGAAATTAAATTTTTAAAAATTAAATGATTATGGAATTCTTGTAAACGAGTAATCTCTCTGAATTATCCGCTAATTTCTGACGATAATTCACATGTTCTAGAGCCTTGTTAGTGGCGAAATATAATTTTTCATTCGGCAGATAAGAATTTCTTATGACAGGAATCAAAATTGTTTATAGGAATAAAAAAGACGTTTCCAAAGGAACACAAAATCGGTGATATAAGAAGGGAGCCTCTTCGTCAGTCCTGCTATGTGAAGGGATATTTGGACTAACTGTCGGGTCGTCAGTGGGTTGGCGTTAGTTATTCTACTACCTACTTCCTATATCCATTGCCACCACCTGCTTCCACCAATAGGATCCCTTCAAATCACTTTTGTCGTCTTCGTCCATATTTGTCTATAAGTCTCAATAATGGGCCTGCTGGATTTGCGTGTTTGGTTACCGTTACGCCTTGATATTTTCGTAAACTGATTCGCGTAACCAAGTTTAGAACTACTCTCCTTCTGTAGAAATAATTTTTTCTCAAAAAAAACTAATTTAGTCGGAGCGAGGAAAAATTTCACTGATTAGTTGCGTTGCGTCGATGCACCAGACGGAGAACCAAACCTAACCTAACCTATCATTACATTTATGTTTTCAACGTGATCCTTATTCCCTTCTGCAGAAACATTTATACATCGTGCAGAAAAGAAATTTTGGGTTCGGCAAGAGTGTACCCCCACGTATGTTGGACTCACGAGTCTCCTCTATTCATCCTACTGCACTGAGAAAAAACTATGGCTTATAAACCTATTAGAGGTAAATATGGAACACCACTAATAGTAGTACCTCTACATATAATAATAGCACATATACCTTAGTTATGGTCTCTGTACCTTAATTAGGTACAGAGACCTTAGTATGGTTCACAGACCGAGAATCATTAGTTTATTTACGACTATTATAGGTGTTCCATATTTACCACTAATAGGTTTATAAACCATAGCTTTTTCTCAGTGTGGATCATCTCTAGAGCCGATTTAAGAAACGTAGCTGTATATATTATACCGGAAAGAATGATTGTTTCGCCGGATAGGATTTTGTTGTGTTGGGTAAGGTAACTTTATGTTGTAATGTCATTATTTTCCGTTCAGGAGTAATGAGGGTTCAGCTGAAGCGGCTAATGTTGGCGTCCACGCATATAAAGTAAATGCCCATTGGAAAAAGAAAACGACATAATACACGGTTACATCGTAAGGAATCGAAATGTTTTACATGAAACTATGTAGATGAAGGGTGGAATAAGGCGACGACCATTATAGAATACAAATGAGATTTAATGTAGTGTAAATATTTTGTAAACACTGTAAAAAGTAGAAAATCTGTTACACTATACGTTGAATCTACGCAAATTCGGATAAAATTAAGTAAAATAAAACGAACATATTTTAACTTCACGTTGGAACTACGCAAATGCGGCAAAATTTAAATGAAATAAAAACATCATATGGAAACTGTACGTTGGAGCTACGCAAATTCTGGAAAAGTTAAGTAAAATAGAAGGATAACATTTAAACTTTACGTCGGAGGTACGCAAAAATCTGAAACAGTTTGGTAAATTAAATACATATATTTAAATTGGCCTTCAGGTTTTCTTCCGAATGTGGGCTCAGCTGAAGCGGCCGATGTAGGCGTCGTCGCATTTAAAGTAACTACCCATTGAAAAAGTGAAAGAACATAATACACAGTTACATCGTAAGGTTAAGGTGAACGGTGGAATAATGCGGAAACCATTATAGGGTACAAATGCGATTTAACGTAGTGCAAATATTTTGTAATCACTGTAACCAGTAGAAAATCCGTTAAACTTTACGTTGGAGGTACGCAAATTCGGGAGAAGTTCAGTAAAATAAAACGATCATAATTAAACTTCACGTTGCAGCTACGCGAATTCGGGAAATTTTAAATAAAATAAAAGGAGCATATTGAAACTTTACGTTGGAGCTACGCGTATTCGGGAAAAGTTAAGTAAAATAAAACTGTCATATTTAAACTTTACGTTGGAGGTACGCAAAAATCGGAAACAGTTAAGTAAATTAAAACGATCATATTTAAATGGGCCTTCAGGTTTTCTTCCGAATGTGGGTACAGCTGAAGCGGCTGATGTTGAAAGTAAATGCCCATTGGAAAAGGAAAAGAACATAATACACCGTTACATCCTAAGGAATCGGTATGTTTTCCATGAAACTATGTCAAGTGAACGGCGGAATGAGGCCCCAACCATTACAAATTACAAATGAGATTTAACGTAGTGTAAATATTTTGTAAACATTGTAAAAAGTAGAAGATCCGTTAAACTTTACGTTGGAGGTACGCAAATTCGGGAAAAGTTAGGTAGAATAAAACGATCATATTTAAACTTTACGTTGGAGCTACGCAAGTTCGGGAAAAGTGAAGTATAATAAATAAACCATCATTTTTAAGCTTTACGTTGGAGGTACGCAAGTTCGAGTAAAGTTAAGGAAAATAAAACGATCAAATTTAAATGGAGCTTCAGGTTTTCATCCGAGAATCTTACTCCTTTTTTGGCGGGCTTTTTGGCGGGCTTTTCTGCGGGCTTTTTGGAGGTGCAGAAGCGTGTAATTGCTGCTTTTGTTGTTCTTCCAAGTCCTTCTGTTTCTCGACATGCCGGAATCTTGACATTATTTCTGATATAACTGCCTTCTCTTCGTCTTGGATCGACTGTTTCTGGAACATGAATGACAAGGATAATGAAAGGAGCTGCAGAGATACGGCTCTACGCCACGGGTAATAATTGAATTCAGTCAGTGCAACCTTAAATGGAAAATATATATGAGAGATTCCTGGTTCGAAATTTCAAAACGAATGCCTTACTAAAATGGCTTAAAGCTACAGGTAACCTAAGGTAAAATTAAGCAGGAAAAGAGGTAGTTTTAGAAATAGGTTCAACATTACTGCAAAGGGAAATTACATGACTTAATAGGTAGTCGTTTATCTTATAGAGACTTTACCTTGGAACGAGTACGCAACCCAACAATGCCGGGGGAATCTCTTAGTACGAGTCGAGGTTGGTATACCGGGTCCCTCCTTCTACACACTTTTTTCTTTTTCTTTAGAGGGCTTCCACTGGGGCTCGACTCTGGTGGCGGGTGCTCTTCGCCGCTGACTGTTGAGGATACGGTACCGCCGGCCGAGACGTAGGCAGAAGATTCACCTTCAGCCAACATTTCACCCACAGATTGCAGTGGGTTCTGGGATTCCGCTGAGGATGTTTGTGACAGCAGCCCAGGTATGATTTTCTTTTCCCATTTGGCTGCGGGAATCGATGACTCCTTCCCGACACTGGCTGGAGATTGTTGCTGAGATAACCCTCTCGCTCCCGGAACAATCGGATTCTGGGACGAGGGCAACAGTTCGGGGGAATCTGGCTCCGAGTCGCTTATGGGTATGAAGATGGATTCATCGATTGGCTTTTTGGACGTTTCCAGCTTTTTACGGTAAGGAAGGTTCCTGTTAAGTTTAATACTTGCTAAAAAACAGCTGTTGATAAAATTTTAGATCTAGAGAGGTTATGCTTTTCTTATGTTTTTTCTTGGTATATTCTTGGTGAATGGTCCTCAATAAAAGTGTCGTTTCTTCTTAATTATTTCTATTTTTCTGAGATTCAACATTTGGTGACCTCGACGTGATACAGAAGAAAGAAGTCAAGTTATGAGTTTTGTTTGAGTTTTTGTTGAAATTGCATTCCTGTATTGGTTGCAATCTGCGCGCTGGGTACCCAACCTTGAAAGACATTGGAATTGCCGTGTCTAAATTTTATTCGACCTGATCAGTCGACGTTTTGGTGGAACTTCAAGCTTCTCATCAAAACAAAGGAATATAATCGGTATTGATATTTAATCTTGCCGAATTAAAGTTCCATTCTCCTCGGTATCGATATTTAATCCTGCCGACTGAGAAATATAACCTCATTGGTATTGATATCTAATCTTGCCAATTGAGTCGTTTAATTTGTCAGTATTGATATATAATCTTACTGATTTCAAATTTGTACTTTTGGTGTCAGTGACAAAGCGGCATCGGTGCATTTGAGTTTGAGGTTGACTCAAGAAGTCAATAGTCAACAAACCGAAATCTAACAACCATCTTTTGAATTTGAATCTTTGCTGTATCAGCTGAGTGATTCAACACTCACCGACAATGGATGACTTACGGAAAAATGCACTTCTCGCAACAAAGAATCAACTGATATTTCAGCTCGATCGCTTTGCAACAGTCGTAAATAGTGATGCCCCCAATGTGCAGATCATTGAGGCTAGGTTTGAAGACTCAAAAGGATTCCTTAGCCAATTTATCCGAGTTGGATTTGAACTCCAACTGCTTAATCCTTCACTTCAAACTACATCAGACTTGGAAGAGTTTGAATCAAAATATTATGATACAATTACAAAGGCAAAAAGTGTCATGAAACGTAATCCTACAGAAGCCACCACCTCAGAGGGTTCAGAGAGTTCCAGTGCTCAAATACTGTCTCCACCAAACATCGGCAATTCTTTGAAACGCGTAGACTTGCCTGAATTCTCTGGAGGCTACATGCAGTGGCAGACTTTTAAGCAAATGTTTACGTCACTGGTACATAACACAAAAATACCAACTATATTAAAATTTACCCATTTAAAAAAATCAGTTACTGGTAAAGCAGCCGCTCTTATAAAACAGATTAATTTTTCTGAAGAAAATTATGAAGTGGCCTTAAAAGCGTTGTCAGATCGTTATGACAACAGGAAATTTTTGCAATATCAGCAAGTTAAAAACCTCTTAAATATGGATGATATTTTCCCTAACGGAAAACCAAGAAAACTAAATTCAAGCCATTTAGAAAGCATGTATAATAGGATCACCCAAACTTTGCATTCTTTGAAAGCATCAAATGTTCTCACTTGTTGTTGGGACCCTATCCTTGCCTACGTGGTAATTTCTAAATTTGATGAAGATACTTTGGCCGA